AGCTGCTCCTCCTCTTCCTCTACGTGGGTAGGCGACATTGGCATTGACTCGGGGGCCTCGGCGGCGTGCCTCGGTCGCTGCTTGCGCAGGATGGAATGGGGGCCCAGTCGTACGGTGAAACGGGCAATGTGACTCCGGGAGTCGTCTTTCCTAACCGACTCAATCGTCTCGGCGAAACCGTCGGCACCGCCGCATATGATTTCGAGTACAGGCTTGCCCGTGACTTCCTTGGGCAGGGAGCCAATGACGTCGGTCCACGAGGGGCTGACATAGCGGATCTTGCCCTCGAGGTCCAGGTCCATGATGATGTTCAGACTGTGCTCGGCGGCCTCCTTGAGGTCTGCACGCTCGTTGCGCATGTCCTGACTAACACTGCGCTCCATGTTCTGTCGGTGGCCGCTGGTGCCGACAGCCTCCTGCTTGAGGGCAGTGACTGCGGGCGGGGCCAGCGTCGGGGGTTTCTTCTCGTCGGCCATGGGTGCGGTGGGTGGTGCTATCGTCGCGAGAGCCCGTCGCCGGGGGGGATTGGGCGGGTGCCCGAGGGCTGGCGGGTGCTGAGCTATGCGCAGAGAGCTGCCAGGACCATGGTGGGAAAAAAGCGACGGTCCGGGAGAGTCGGGCGTGCAGCTGGGGAAGGTACGCGTTGACGAGCAGTGCGGTAGTGCTTGCTGACTGCAACGAGAGTGGGTCTCGCAACCGGGATGAGGGGACTAGACGAGCTGCATAGTAGTGCGAGCGTGCGAGAAGGCGAGGGGAGCAATTGGGCGATGTAATGAGCGTCGCGGGCTGGGGATGGATGAGGGCGGTGGGCAGCAGGCGGCGGCCGTGGCAGTCGTCGCCGTCGTGGTGGTGGACGGGGCGAGAGGGGTACACAATGGGCGTCGTCTCAGCCGGCAGCACAAGGCGTCGGCAGAAAGGCGTTGACAAAAAAGAAAGCACGCCAGGCGGGCGGATGAGCAGCTGCACGCATGGGATGGGCCTCGTCGGCACGCTATCCAGCTGGCAAAAGTCCCCACGCAGCACCCAAGCACGCGTCGAGAGAAAGTCACACGCAAAACAGCCGTGCACTGGTGCGCGCGGAGCTAAAGGGTATGCATGATGCTGGTGTAGGGAGGGTGCATTCACTGGCCCGAGCGCCCGACCGTGACGGCACATCCTGGCCGCCAACACAACGGCAGAACCTCTCGCGGGCTTGTCCAACAACACGGCCACAGTGCTGCGGCATTGGCAATCAATCGCGAATCAATCGAGACGGCCGTTGGCCTGTCGACAAGGCGGGGTACAGCACGGCAGCAGTCGTCCCTCTCTGCTCCCATTGTCATGACCTGCCGCAGACTCCCCCTCTACTGACCGCTTCGCTGCATGCTCCCGGTAATCCCTGGACGAGTGCAGGCCGTTGTGCTATTTGCTCGCCCATGTCTTTGGTCAGCTTGGGCAACACGAGACGAACCACGGGCAGCGCACTCCCAGACAGCCTGCGCGCACCTAAACACTATTCTGCAAAACAGCGCTTGTGTGTAATCAGCCCTTAGTGATCGCCAGCCCCTCCCCAAGGCCGGCTACGACACAGCCAGAGGACGACTAATCCCGTCGGACAATAACTCGAACGGCTGTGCAGCATCGCGAACGCATGTTCACGCCATCATCAGCCGAGCACCATGACCGCTGCCCCCTCGACAAGACGGCCCAACGTTGCACGACTGCCCTCGTTATTGCGCGCGACAACAGACGAGCCCCTCGCCAGGACCTGCAGCGTCGCCGTGGATACACCACCTGGGGAGACGTGCAGATCGCTCCTGCCCGCCCAATCACACCCTCGTCGCATGCACCTCTGCTCCTTCCCCGTCTTGCCTGGATGCGGCCCAGGCCCGCTACGTCTGCAACTAAGCCCGTCCTGTCGGCGGTCATATAGACGTACACACAGCGGAGCGAACAGCTTGCTATTCCCGCTCCGTACACTTCCTATTCGACCTTCGCCTGGTGAACCACGTCCAGACCTCGACGTTGGATGCATCCAGGCAACTACCTGGGTTTGAGTGCCGCATCACACCCTCACAACACTAGCTCTGCGCTACTGGGAATCGCCACCTGGGCCACGACGTGCATCGAGTCTGGAGTAATAGAATGGGGTTTGTTGACACAGCACTGATGCTACATGCTACGGCACCTCCCTATTCACCGACGCCGAATAACGAAGATGACACCCGTGGACGATTGAGTCTGTCACGTGCTCTTCCGAACGTCCGTAAACTCGTGCTTCCAACTCCAGTTAGGAACACTACCATGCTCTAATCGAAGTACACTGCCTCGGGCTTGTGTACACAAATCTTCCCCGATGCGTCGCTCTTCAACACCACCCTGGGATCCTCTTTGCTTGCCTTGACCTTCTTGCCATCGACCTGCTTTTCTTCGTACAGAACCTCCACAACCTCACCGTCAACATAGCCAGGGAGCGAATGCCATTGAACTTCCTGGCCCTTCTTCGGCACACGGGTTATGTCGCCGGCAGCTGCAATAGGCTTATCGTGCTTGTTGACTGTGCTCTTCTGTCTCTTGTTGGCACTGGGAGCCTCTATGTTTGCGCCACGTCCTCGCTTTTGACCTGGATGATCGTCCTGCGGGGGACTCTTGGATTTCCGGCTGCTTTCCAAGAACTTTTGGTATGCGCGTTGATCCTCCTCCATATGGTCCGGGTCGTCCCATTGCGTGGTGCAGTCCGTCTTGCTCTTCTTCTCGATCTTGGTGAAGCCATTCTTCTCACCGTCTTTGGTAGCATCTTTCTTCGCTTGTGCAGCCTTCGACGTGTTGGCGACATGTTGCTTGCCCTCCTTGCCTCCCTCCTGCTTCTTGGCATCTGTCTCCTCCTTCTCCTTCTCGCTCATCTCCTCCCATGCCTTCTTCGGCAGGTAGCGGTGTTCCAAGCCGTTCTTGTCTTTTGCGCTTCCGCTGCCGTCCTTTGTCTGCCACTCTTCTTCCGTCCACTCATCCAGATGCTTCGCTTTCTCGTCCTTCTTGTCCGTGGTATATCCTCCACCGCGTTTCTTATACTCGGATGCCATCATCTGTGCCTGCAATTGACTACGTCAGTGCTGCTCAAATGTTCCGCGCTGGTGGAGCCTACCTTTCTGGCTGACCATTGGCCGGGCTCACCTCCCTTGTCACCAGCTTGGATCTCCTCCTTGACTTCATCACGCAGTTGCGGATCCGTGTATTTGTCGTCGGTCTTGGAAGGCATTTTTGATGAGACTGAACGAAGAGCAAGTCTGAGAGGAGTCGTAGTCACACGAGGTGCGCGATATGCAGCAACAAGCAAAAACGGTCGGGGGAGAAGCGTGCGATACATTCCAGAAGAACAAGCGTCCAGCAAACAATCTTTGTACCACCCCAGATTCCCTCCACTGACGTACAGGTACCTGCGCAAGCTTCAACCGTTCTCATCTTAAACAGCCAGCCACCCTGAATCACCTACATCATGAAGTCTTCACGATTCCGTATGGCGGCCAGAGCACCTTGGAAGCTGGTAGAGCACGTCTCGTTCCTCTCAAACGCGCGCCGGGATGACATCAATGACCTCTCGATAGACCCATTCGGGTTGGTGTGAGCGCTCGGACCTGATCGTGCGCTGAGATCGAGGAGAAGCCAGCTAGCGTGCGTCTGCCAGATCACCCACCAGACGTCCATGCCTTCTGGACTACCTTGGAAAGGGCGACCCAACATTTGTGCGCAGGCTGCTGCTTTTCCCAGCCACCCTTCTCATTTCCTTGCTTTGACGGGAAGTTGCTCGTGCGTCAACTGTGGGATGCAAAATGCTCCTTGAGCCATGTCTGCCCCAAGCCGATATGGGCCGGTCCGTAAGTAGCGTGCTACCGGCGTATGCTATAGCATAAGTGCAGCCACCGCCCGGCAGATGTTGCACATTCTCTTAGACCCGCCCGTGAGAGCAATTCTGAATTCCCATGATCGTGAGTCTGGTAGGTAAAGGCTCTGAAGCCGTGATCAGTGCGACTCTCAAAGGTATCATCGCGATACCGATGCCGATGGCCCCTCTCGCAGCGAGGCCACACAAACAACCAAAGTACTTGCCGCAGAATTCGCAGGGCATTATCGCACACCATCATCGTTCGTTCTACAATGGCGTCATCTGGAATCTCTTCATTAATGGTGTAACATGACAGTACCTTTTGTGAAAATGTCGGTCGCATCTCACGAGGAAATGGAAGACACTCCAGCGAGACCCTACACAATGAGACAACGCTCCCGTCATCTTCCAGAGCCATTGATGGCGCATGGGAGAGCGTCCATCTTATACCTCTGCCTTGGTAGTCGTGCTAGAAGAGGTCACTACGTTCCGAGTAGCCGACGTCTTATACCTCAGTGACTAGTGCCAAAGCAAGTCAAATCATTTTCGATTTTGCGACTTTTCCGATTGGCTCACATCTTTCGATGCAATGAATGTGGGCTGGCTAATGTACGTTTTAGTAGAAGTACGGTACACACTACCTTAGCAAGAGCTGTAGGTACCCCTCCATCATGGCATTCTGGGCGCGCTTTAACTGGAGCCAGGAGTGCAAGAGGATCGACCGTCGTTCCGTTCATCGGATTCATCTAGATGTGATGGAGAGGCTAAGATACCGATGAAGTCACAGCGACGCCTTTCTTCCATGCGGCTTCTGATGGCTTCCATATGCCTACTAGAATCCACATCTTCTACACTCGATGAAGGCTTCCGGTCGAGTCCTAGGGCACACTACAACATGCCGGCGTCCTTTCGGCCATGAGGTAGGAGTATCTAGGCCCGAGGAGGAGCGCCTGACTTGCCTCAACAGGTGTCTACGGAAAAGGTCTGCCAAATACTGAACACTACTACGACTTGTGGATGACGCAACGCGACCAGTGTGACATAATGGGAGGCGACGATGCCATATAAAACCGTGAGCATGATATCACAGGAACAAAGATATACTGACTTCATTCCACTGTCTTCACCTCCAGACTTGAAAATGCACCTCACCCCATTCCTCTTCGTGGCATCCGCCACAGCCCTTCCCGCCATTTTCCGCTCCCGAGCAACTCTTGCAGACGCCCTCCTGCCCGAAATATCCCTCCCAATCGACTACTCTTTCGGCGTGCGGGTACCAACATCTTCCAACCCGTCATCATCTAACCCTCTGGCACTCCTTGTGAACGGTTACACTGTCAAAATCCCACTCATCGCCAGTTCAGGCACTCTCGTCTCATGGATAGCCAACTACGCAGACGGAAAGGCATACAACACCCAATTCACCTCCATCAACCCCTCGGCGCCTAGGAACATCACTACGGACTCCGACTCCACCTCGCAGCAAGGTGGAAACAGTGTCTCAAACGCCACAGCACTGGCAGACGGACGACAAGCTCGCGTAATCACGACATCTTTCTCCTCAGGCAACGCCGCATCCGCCGCAGCCGCCGCCCTCGACGGCACAAACTCAGATTCCACGTCCTCATCCGGCGCCGCAAACAGCACGGCAGTCGCTACAACCAATGCCCTAGGCGAAGTCCTCATCTTCACCTCCGCCAACACCGCCAACGCCCTAAACTCGCAATCGATCAAGAACGCCAAAGGCGCTGAAGCAGCCTCATCATGCGCCGCCGACTCCGGGCCTGCTGCATCCGCGCAAGCAGAGCAAGTTAACAGCCTTTACATTCCCATTGGCACCTCTTCAGACGGCAAGGAAACGCAATGGCTGAAGAGCTCGGCTTATGCGGCGTGTGCGGCGGGTGTTGATTCGCCGAATCAGGGAGGTAGTTCGAGTTCGGGGAGTCAGTCTAGTTTGACGGGCGTGAAGAGTAGTGTTACTTGTAACGGGGCGACGAGTACAGATCAGACGAAGAGCACGACGTATAAGGTTAGTGTTAAGGGGAGGTATACGCTGTTGAAGGGGTTTAATGGTGCGGTTGGTGGGCAGAGGGTTGCGGATAGTAAGAGTCAGTGTTAGATGTGTCGTGGGTGTTCGATCTTCAAAAGGCTTTATAGAGCTCAGGCAAGAGTATAGCTGTATCTTCTTAGTTTTGACTCTTCACTTAGTTGGATGGCATGTCTTGAAATTTGCGATATATATCACAATGCAACAAACATGGACGTTTCACTTCATCATTCCTGCCTTTGTGTGAACATAATCACATACCCTCTTAACTACCACAAGATTTTCAACATCATTCTATTCTCTCTACTGCGTATCTTCATATCTTGCTATCTGGGGAACCGGCCCCGGTCCCCTTTCACTTTCACCGTGACGATCTCGTGCGCACCTTCACTTTCTCTTACTCTACACTGACGCTGCTATTGACAAGCCGCACAGTGAATACTGATCCCTGAATTAGACTAGCTTGACGCGCGCTCCGCTTTGATAGAGACAATAGCAGAAGCTCAGTTACCTTTACGATGTGAAGACCCTTGCTGTGGAAGACACTCACCTCCTCATCCACAAGCCCAGTTGCACATCATATCAGCGACATGCTTGACTTACTATCTTCATTAATTCTCACACCTCTGGCTAGTAACACGCCGCCTCTGGACGTCTCGGACTTGACGTCGTCCCTGCTCACCTCATATCCGCGCCCAAGGGCACCATGGCGCGACCCATACGTTCCCATATATGGCCACAGCCCGCTGCGAGCCGAATACATGTTGCCTAAGTCATGGCCAGACGAGCGCAATGGTGAGGCGACAAGTCCCTCGATGCATCGCGACTCCACCACACCACGCTCACAAGGGCCAACGTCGTCCTCAGTCAGCCATGACAGCTTGATAGCTGAGCCTTGCGAATCGCTTGAAGTCGAGCAGGATGATACAAACTATCGAGGTCCATCGGCCAATCTGGTGGCCAGCAGACTACCGCAGGTAGAGGCCGATACGATGGCCCAGCGTCGTGAAATCGAAGACGTCTACAGTATACGAAATATCTTGAACAAGAAGCGACGTTGGGATGATCGCATGGCGGTCTTGCTTGGTGAAACGATGCTGGCAAATTCTATCAATCGACATCTAGGGGCTGTAGAGGTGGGATATCTACCCGAAGATGAACACACAATGGGAAAAGGGACAGTTGGTACAAACGGGCACCGAAGAATGCACGAATTCCTGCACAGCAAGGAGAAGAAGAGGAAACGAAGTGTTGAAGACATTGGAGATGAGGTCACGGATGATAAGAGTACCAAGAGGACGCGAACAATGCCTCGGGGCATATTGAAGATGCAGACAGAGAAGAAAGATCGACTACTAGCCAGCAGACATACCGGATGAACACGACATGGACCTGGCATACAAGAGACAAGTCAGACGCAGACGGAGTACAGCGATGTGAAACCACATGTCGCGCCTGCATGATCACCCCGATGTCACCCAAATACGCTACAACTTCAGTCTAGATGGACGAGTATTGGCAGATTCACCGCCTTGAGGTGCCGATTATCCGCAAAGGGTGGAAAAGGAAGTTTGACTGCAGGATGGGACCAAGTGGAGATGAGTGGGTAATGGATCATGGGGCAGGGAGCATGGGCCCCCATCGCCAAGATGCGGGGAGAGCTCCTCCCCAACACAGCCGGAGCCATGCAAGGTACCACAGCTGCTGTAGCGTGCTGTTGACCTTGTCGACATTTCCACACCGCCTCGACCGAGTCCCAATCCCCATCTCCAGCCTCATCCACCATGGGAGGAGAATCGCACCGCAACATGCCCGTGCCCGTGGCCAAAGACTACCCACAGCTGGCGGCTGGTCCCGTTGGCAAGCAGATCCACAGCATCTACCAGAGCCGACTGAGGCAGTTCCTCGATGCAGGACAGTACAGGGAACAGAGTCTTATTGGGTGAGTCTCGAGCTTCGCGCCTTCCTTCTCCTCCATCCCCAGCTCCAAGATGCTCATACGTCATACAGCAAGCTCACCGAAGCTGTCGCGTCCGGTACCGACTGGGTGAAGCTCTCCGTCTACTCGCCCCCAAACCTATCGCGCCCGCTCTTTAAGGAAGCCACTTCCCATGCCTTTCACCCCACCAAAGTCGGCGAGTCATTTGGCCCCAGTTGGTCGACCCACTGGTTCAAGGTCCAGCTCACGGTGCCTAAGCACATGCTAGACAAGGAACACCTCGAATTCGTCTGGGATGCAAACAACGAGGGCTTGATCTGGACTGAGGATGGACACACTGTTCATGGGCTGACAGGTGGCGGCGAACGCACGCAATGGATCCTGCCCAAGGAGTTTAGAGACGGCAAAGAGCATACCTTCTACATCGAGATGGCCTGCAACGGCATGTTCGGCAATGCCCCCGGCGGCGACTCGATCCAGCCACCAGACCCAGACAAATACTACACGCTGCACACTGCTGAGGTCCAGGCGGTCAACCTGGAGGCGAGAGGGCTATACTTTGACTTCTGGGAGATTGGAGATGCCGCTCGCGAGTTCCCTGGGGACTCGACGCAAGCCCATGATGCCCAGCAGATCGGCAACCGCATCATCGACACTTTCATTGCGGGCAATGGAAGCCAAGAGAGCATCAAAGCATGCCGCAAGATTGCGGCTGAGTACGTCGGCAAGGACGTAGACTCGCACAAAGTATACGAGACCGACCAGGAGGCTATCGTACACGGTATCGGCTACTGCCACATCGACACGTGTTGGCTCTGGCCATTCGACGAGACCAAGCGAAAGGTCAACCGATCCTGGTCGAACCAGTGCGACCTCATCGAGCGATACCCCGAGCTTCGCTTCTGCTGCTCACAAGCGCAGCAATACAAGTGGCTCGAGCAGTACTACCCTTCCACATTCGATCGCGTTAAGAAGAAGGTCAAGGAAGGAAGCTTCCAGCCTATCGGTGGTAGTTGGGTCGAGCATGACACCAACCTTCCTGGCGGAGAGTCACTCATCAGGCAATTCTTGTACGGCCAGCGCTACTTTGAGAGCAAATTTGGCCAGCGGTGTCGCACTTTCTGGCTACCGGACACTTTCGGGTACTCAACGCAGCTACCACAAATCTGTCGCATCTCGGGTATGACGAGATTCCTCACCCAGAAGCTGAGCTGGAACAACATCAACAACTTCCCACATACAACATTCAACTGGGTCGCGTTGGACAACAGTCAGGTCATCTGCCATATGCCCCCATCTGAGACGTACACGTGCGAAGCGAACTTCGGTGACGTCAAGCGCAGCGTCACACAGCACAAGTCGCTCGACCAAGACAAGTCTTCGCTGATTGTCTTCGGCAAGGGAGACGGAGGCGGTGGCCCGACATGGCAGCACCTTGAGAAACTCAGGCGATGCCGCGGTATCAGCGACACTGCTGGTCTGTTGCCTCGCGTCAAGCTAGGCGACTCAGCAGACGACTTCTTCGACCGCCTAGAGAAGAAGGTCGAGAATGGTACTGAGCTCGTGACATGGTATGGCGAGCTGTACTTCGAACTTCACCGTGGTACATACACTACACAGTCGAACAACAAGCGCAACAACAGGAAGTCTGAGATTATGCTAAGAGACATTGAGTACCTGGCGACTCTGGCGACAATTAAGAACGGCTTCGGCAAGAAGAGCTCGTACAAGTACCCGAAGAAGGACATTGATGACATGTGGGAGAACGTGCTCTTGTGTCAGTTCCATGACTGTCTGCCTGGAAGCTCCATCGAAATGTGCTACGACGACTCCGATCGGGTATGTTGCTGATCCCCAAACTTGACTTTATGACTGACCTTTTTAGATTTACGCCGAAGTGTTTGCTACTGGAGAGAGGCTGCTTTCCGACGCCCTTGCTGAACTTGGCTTCAACGATGAGACTAGCTGGGATCAAGACACAAAGCTATTTGCGATAAACACCCTGCCATGGAGCCGTACCGAGATCATCAAGTTGCCGAGTGAGGCAAGTCGAACGAAGTATAGTCCCCCAGGGGCGGAGTACGGTCTTGCTCATCGTAACGGATCTCAGAAGGGCTTGGGCGCTCTGGACGTATTCCCACTCCACTCTGCGTACCCTGCTCAGAAGGCGACTATTGAGGAGATCCATCCCAATGTTTACGAACTCCGCAACTCGCAATTTGTCGTACAGGTCAACAACGGTGCCATCACCTCGCTCTTCGATATTGGCGCCGATCGCGAACTGATTCCGAAGGGTGCCAAAGCCGGTCAGCTTGTAATCTACGACGACAAGCCACTTTACTGGCAAGCGTGGGACGTTGAAGTCTACCACCTCCAGTCCCGCCAAGAACTCGAGCCCAGCAAGGTGACCATTGCGGAGAACAGCGTTCACCGTGTGAGCCTGGTGATTGAGACGAAGGTCTCAGACAAGTCGTGGGTTAAGACGACCATGAGTCTACCTGCAGCCGTAGGAAACACACCTAGTGCTATAGAGTTTGACGCAGAGATTGAATGGCACGAGACCATGAGGTTCCTCAAGGTCGAGTTCCCAGTCGACATTGTGAATACAGAAGCCAGCTACGAGACGCAGTTCGGTACTGTGCGCCGACCCACGCACTACAACACTACATGGGACATGGCCAAATTCGAAGTCTGCTGCCACAAGTGGGCCGATCTTTCCGAGGCTACCTACGGTGTCTCGATCCTGAACGACAGCAAATACGGTTTCGCAGTCGCCGGAAACGTTATGCGTCTGTCACTTCTCCGCTCTCCCAAGGCCCCCGACGCCCATGCCGACATGGGAAGCCACAAGACTCGCTACGCCATTTTCCCTCACAAGGGCGGTCTGGACGAACGCACAGTGCGCAAGGCCTTTGAATTCAACAACCCTCTCAAGATCGTTGGCCGCCAGGGCCTGCACGCCCCACCATCCGCCATGCACAGTGGTCTTCTGAATCCCTTCCACATCTACGGCGCACCCAACCTTGTGCTCGACACCATCAAGCGCGGTGAAGACGACGAGGATGTAAGCCGCGGTGAACTGCCAATCAAGAAGGGCCATTCAATCATCCTACGTATCTACGACAGTCTGGGC